TTTTCTGTCACGTTCCTGGAGAATGGAATGCAGCCTGGTAAGATGAGGGTGCTCCATGTGCGGGGGGCTGACAGCTCTGCCACACCGTCTGCCCTGGGCTGGCAGCTCTGCAGGTGGCCGCTCAGCCTGGGGCCTGCATCGCCATGGGGCTGGTGCTCAGGGAGCCCAGGAAGTGTGGGACTGTGCTTCTGGAGCAGGGACAATCACCCCAGACATCCCCTGTGCCCTGGCCCAGCCTGTGTGCCCCATCCCCTGGGCTCCCCCCACCAGCTGTGCCCCAGCCGGGTAGGAGGTTCGATGGCTTGGGGTGCAGAGTTCCCCCTGGGCCTCCCTGCCCAGCTCCAGCACCACAGAGTGACCACCGTGGGTCCATCCTGCCCCCATGCCGGGTCCGACACATCCCAGCAGCGTGGCGGGGCAGGCAGGGCTTGACCCAGGGCACTGTTGTGGCCTCAGCTCCGGGCTGCTTGGACACAAGCTGTGATATGGTGTGAGGAGAGCGCTGCCAGCCATGACCCACGGGTCTGTTGCCACCCCAGGGTGTCCTCCGGGGGCTGAAGGCCGTGCTTGGGGTGGGCTTGGGCGAGGGATGTGTCTGGTCCACCCCCCTGGGGCCATGTCACCTGCTGCCACCTGCCCCCCTTGTGCTTCGTCACACTCGTCGGAGCAGTTTTTGGGCTAGAAATGCTTTTTTGAGCTGTTAGAAGTGCATGGGGTGCTCAGGGCTGAGCCTTCCTCCAGCTCGGGGGTAGAAGGTCTCTCCCTCCCGCAGGACCCTCACCCCTGCTCTCTCTTCCTCTCCCCTCCGCAGCACTCGACGCTGTCGCGCAAGTTTGTGGAGGTGATGTCCGAGTACAACGCCACTCAGACTGACTACCGGGAGCGCTGCAAGGGCAGGATTCAGAGGCAGCTGGAGATCAGTGAGTAAACCAGGAGGGGGAACACAGCCGGGCTGTGAGTGCTGGGGGGGGCCACATCCTGCACAGGGTCTTGCTGGCTCAGAGCTTCTCCCACAGCTGTGCAGAGCACCCCCGTGAAAACCTGGGGGTGCATGGGGGCTGTGCACACACCTCTGGGAGCAACCGGGACATGGCTCTTGCTGGGGGATAGACACGTGGTGGTACCTCGTGTTTCAGTGTCAAACCGCAAAGATCCGGCAAAGCACAAAAACTCCCCTCAGTTTTTCTTAAATGCTGCATAGAGAGTGCAGAGAGCACAGGGAGAGAAATTTGCAGCTAATTTTGACTTCAAAGAAGCTAGCGGGAATTCCTGACTCCCATGTGTTGCCTTTGATTTCATCGGGGTGAACTGAACTAAGTATAAGACCAGAGAAGTGAGCTCTTGAGATGGGGGCACTCGCTGCTCCCAGCGGTTTCCCTCACCGCACAACGCTCAGTGCCTGCCCCAGGCATCTCCCTAGACCCAGGACCATGATGGCTCTTCGAAGCTGTGGTGGTATCTTCTGGCTGACGGTGGGTCCCAGGTGACACCTCTGAGGCTGTCGTCGCCGTGGCACTAAGATCCCCCTGCGTTATCTGGAGCCCATGGCTCAGGGGGAGCCTGGTCCTGCCCGTCCACAAAACCTGCTCTTCTGGTGGTTCTTCCGGGCAGTCAGTGATACCTGGTTAGTTTTAGAGAAACATGGTCATCTCCCAGCAAAGAAGAATCATTCCACTACTGTAATTAGGGGAATAAGCAAGCAAGGGAGAAGTCAGGGTATGCAGAAATTAAAAGATATTTTTGCAAATAATCTCATTTGTCAGAGAGGCGGCGTGGTTTTGTGCTCAAAATGAAAATCTGAAGCCTAGTCCAGTTGGGGTTTTTTCCCCTCACAAACAAATGGGTGTTTTTCCTCCATTTCACAACTTGGTGTGAATAATAAGGTAGGAGATTTTTGAGGCAGAATGTTGTGCTTGAAGGTCACCTGTGGGATTGTCCTTCATGAGCTGCAGATGCCTGGGAATCTGGGAGCCAGTGGGCTATGGCAGTTTCTGCGGAGGGCTAGAAGGAGGCTCGGCTGTGCAAGCCTTTCCTCTGCTAAGATGATTAGTCTTTATCATGTATAACAACAATGGAAATGTTTCACACTGGCTGAATGGAAAGGCTGACTGACATGAGGTTCAACAAGAGCTTGATGTTTAAGGTAAAGCAGGATGATGAGTGTGTCACTGCTCCAGCTGACTGACTCATTCATCAGCTAGTGTCATTCTGTAGGTGATACCCAGCCACAGGGGTGGCTTGTAGTGTGAATAGGAATTTAATGTATCCCCATGCCCCCCTTCTAAGAGAGGAGAAGATTTGAAAGGACTTAGCCAGGTCTTTGGTTGTTTGCAGACCTGAAAGAAACCTTCCTCTTGTTTTTCTGCTCCCAGATTTTGGAAGGACTCTACTGCTCTGCTTAATTACGCAGATATATGAATTTATACTTGTCGTCACTCTGTCCATCCTGCTGGGCTGTCAGTGCCTGACATGGCTCAAGGAAAAGGCTGCTCAGGCCTCACCATGGCGCAGCGGCTGGGTGCAGAGGAAGTGTCCTAGTTAATGATCGTGAGGGACCTGCTTTCCTTTCGGGGTGGAGATATGGCACAGATGCAGATGAAGGATGGGGTCTGTGCTGGGAAGGTGCACAATCCCGTGTGCAGTCCTTTGCAAAAGCTGTGTTCCTCTGCCAGGATGGTGGAAAATCTCTTGTGACCAAAAGACTTGTCAAAAGCAGCAAGCTTATTGAAGTTTTATCAGGATTGCTTCCTGGGCAGAGAGCTCTGCTCATCCTGGGGTGTCCCAGCCAGCCCCTTCAGTCCCTGCTGCTCTGGGGGCTCTTGAACAGGCTCTTTTGAACAGAGCTCAACTGGGATGTGCCGACTGCACAAAGTTCTATGAAATCCTCAGCGCTTGTTTTCAGCTGATGAATCCAAAGATAGAAAGCGCCAGGAGCTCTGACAGCGAAGCCAGTAAATGGCTCAGGTTTTGAAAGTATGAGAGCAAGGACTTCTCAGCTGTTCTGGGGAGACTCCCCAGCACCCGGTGAGCTTCTGCGTCCTAACAGCATCTGCTTCTTGCTCTGGAAGTGGGACAGTTGCAGAAGAAATGGTGATGTAGAGTCACATCCCTGGGCCACAGCCACCCCTCTGGGCTCCCCACAGTCCTCCCAGGATCTGCCACTTCTCCTGGTGTAGGCACCGCTGTGTCTGTGTGTGCCAGAGGTTGTGCCTCAGTGACCCTCGCTGTCACCCCTGCCCGTCAAGCACATGCTGAGCCCGGGAGCCTGTCTGACGCGACGAAGCGGGTGTCCTGTCCTCTGCCACTGCTTCCGCCCCAGCCTCAGTCGGTGCCCTCACCCCCCTCTTGCTCACTCGCTCTGCTCCCAAACACACCAAGACTGCAGATGCCAGGGAGGCATCATAGGATGCACCGTATCCTGGGGTTGGTGACAAGCAGGACAGATGCAACAGGTGGCTGTCCTCCAGCTGGGCTGTGCCCCCCTCCAGCGGCGTCCCTTTGTCTGCTGCTGGGAGCTGTGCTCCCCAGGCACGAGCCTCCGTGCTGCCTGCGGTGGGAGGTGTCGAGCCTTCAGTTTTTTCCTCTCCATTTTGTCCGTTATGAGAAATGACATCTTAAATCTAATTAGGTTTTGCTCCCAGATAAATTGGATTTGAATCTTGGAGGAGCTTTCTGTTGTGGGTGTGCATCTTTGAAGCCATGAAGGTGCTGCACAGATGCTGCTTGTTTTTATGAACGGTTTTGTTATGCGTGAGACCAAGGAGCCAAAAATAAAGCATTTGCCATCTCTGAAGGCACTGTGAGAATTAATCAGCCCCCGCCCCACTGTGCAAGACCAGGTTAACTGAAGTGCAGAAATGCAAGCTGTGGATGCATCCCAAGCTGCCTTTGGGCCAGGAGAGTCTGGGGGCTGCTCCAGCCCTGGCGGCTCCTTGGGGCAGCCCTGGGTGGTCCGAGAGCCCCTAATGCTGAGATGGGCTTATTTAGGGTTCCCGTGACACTTTCATCTCAGGAATGACCGTGGGATTTATCTGAGCTAAAAATGTCTTGCTGGGTGAAAATGCCTGCACAGCGCTGGAAGTTGGCCCCTGCAGCCCCCCGCTGCACTGAGCAGAAGGGGGCCTGAGGGACGGGGAGGTGGGTGGCATTTTGTGACATGCCAGGCAGGCTTTTATAGCAGAAGTCTGCTCATCCCAACACCACCCCAGGCAGTGCTAGCTAGACCTGTCTGAGCGGGGGACAGCCAAGTGGGTCAGGTCACTCCTACTGGCTACCTCTACACACCTGGGTGGATGGGGCAGCGTTACCCATCTCTCCATGAGTTGGATGGATCTGTGCCTAATGAGAGCTCGAAAGCCAGATCCAGACAGAGGAGCCCAGCCTTGGGCTCAGTGTTTCCTCAGTGTTTCCAACCTGAGGCCTAGCTGTGAATCTGTGGGTGCTCGTGCAGCCCCGCACTGGGAGGAGGGAAGCTGCGAGCCAAAGGAGCACAGCTCAGCCACTACAGTTAATTCAGCTGTGGCATGTGTGACTTCTGCAGCCCCGAGGTGCCTGAAGTCTTCCCTATCTGTAGAGCGTCTGGCATGCAGAATTGGGCAAACTGGCATTCAGTGTCAGCTGGGTGATGGGTGTGAGCTGTGGCACTGGAGGCTTCCTTGGGAGCTTCCCCAGGGTCCTGCACACCCTGATGGAGCTGCTCCTGCCCCATCCCCTGGGAGCTGGTCCATGGGGACAGTCACTCCATCCAGCTGGGCGTCACAGGGCCAAGGACTGTGCAGTGGCCTTGAGGTGGAAAGTCTCCTCGGTGGCTTCATGTCTCTGACTGTCTCAGAGCTTCTCATGGCCTTGCTGCACCATGACCTGTGCATCGTCTCTCGCCATTCTCTCCTTGCCAGCTCAGGGCTGTTTGCTTCTCCTTCTGTGGTGCAGCTCCCAGCAATGCTCTGTGCTGCTTTGCTCATTGGCAGAGCTTCCTCTCCCCAGGAAACGTTAATTTCTAGAGGTGCCAAGTAAGAGACAGGTGTACTCTGGAGCTCTCTGGGGAGGCAGAGGTCCAGTTCTCATGATTTTCCAGTGTTTTTCAGGGCAGGGGTTTTCCCCCAGGCTCTTCCCCCTTTGTGGGCACCTTGCATTGACTCAGTCCTTTCATTCCCATTTGTGGCTGTGCAGTAGCTCTGTGGTGATGTGGCAGCAGATCAACCAAGTATCTAGTACACTTTCATCTGATTTTATTGCTGTTGAGGAGCTAATGACAGCCTTTCCAAATCAGGAAGCTTAACCAGAAGGCAGTGGACTCCCTGGGAAGTCCTCTGGGGTCTTGCAGGTTGGCTGTATGGCTTTGGCGAGTGTTGTGCTGGCCAGTGTGGGTGAGATGGAGCCTCTGGGCCTCATGCTTTGGCTCAGCAGTAAAGCTGTGGCCTTTGGCCAAGCCTGCACTGACTGGCCAGTTGTTAATCCACGTGATGTCTTTATTCTCATCCTTTGCCTCGCTGCAGCTTTTTTTTTTCGCTCCCCATGCTCTGCAACAGGGGACTGGGGCAGTGAGGAGGTGGTGAGAGCTGGGATGAGAACATGTGTACTGCATCCCATCCCACCTCTGCCTGCGAGAGATGTGACATCTCCTGGAGCTGATCCCACTGCTTGCCCTTGGGGCTGCCTCTAGGGCTTGAATCGGACGGAGCAAGTAGCCTTTTATGCACTGTGCCTGGCATACTCCTGCTTGTCACTGTGCCAGTGGCTGCTCAGAGTTGAGCATAGTCAACAGGAGGGTTTGTACATTTGTGGTGTTTGAGCCCTTGTTGTCCCTTCCTGGAACCAGGGCAGTTTCAGCCAAGAGCAAGGAGCCAACAGGCAGGAAGGGCTGGCAAGGAGGTGTCATGGGTTGCCCTGGGTGGAAGTGAACCTTCGTCACCCTACAATA